CCTCCTGCAGAGCCACGCGGCCAGCCGGTCCCTGCCGGTGCCCAGGCGGCCGCCCGGCAGCCCTCGGGGCCTGTGTTTAGGGCTCAGGAGGGGCAACGTTAACCACACACAAGCACACATGTATGCATAGGACTCCCGTGTGCGCTCACACGGACAATAATTCAAGGCCCTGCCGCAGCACAGACGTGAACTGGCCACGACGGGGTCTCAGAGAAGCCTTTGCACCCAGAGCCCAGACGTCAGCCATGGGACAATCAGGCAACCAAGAGCAGGGGCCCCCGGAGGGCTCGGAGTGTATTCACAGGAGAGCTGAGGGCCAGCTTCTGACACCCAGGGCGGGTGTCGCCTGGCTCTGCAGGAAGTGGGAGCCCCCATTCTCCTGAGCAGGGAGAGACCGCGGGCGATGTTCCCAAAGCGCTGTCCGCACTGAGCAGCTGGCAAGCTCGGCCCCTCCTGAGAGGGCCCTTCGGCTCCCGCTCCAGGCACAGGAGCAAGGAGCCAACCTGACACCTGTGAGGGGCAGGAGGACAGGGGGTCAGGAGGGCCAGCCAGCTCTCCACCTAAATGGCCAGGCACCCGGCCCCTCTGGGCCAGCTCCCCGCCTACCTGAAGCCCCTCTCAGCCAACACCCCTCCCTCCCAAAGCCCTACTTGCCGCCCCTCCCCACACACTTGAAGCCCCTCCCACCTGAAGCCCCTCCTGCCCCTGCTCCTGCCCCTCCCAGAGCCCTGGCAGCTGAAGGCCCTGCACTTGGCTGAGAGTTATGAGAGGCTGAGCAGACGTCCGTCCGGTTGGGCCTGGGGAGAAGGATGGGGCATTGTGTGAAGTCACCTCGCCCACCCTGTGGGGGAAGGAATCAGGGGAAGGCTGCAGGCAGCAGAGCCCCAGGGGCCTGATGGGAAGAGGCCCCTGGTGTCCTGGGCACTGAGCCCGCCCCACCTTGAACTGGTCCCATTCTCTCTGCGGAAGGAAGGACCTCCTGCAGTCCTGCAGCGCCAGCCACCAGGGCGGACACAGACAGAGCAGCAAAGACCCTCCGTGCTGGGTGGGAGCCCGCCTCCTGCACAGCCTCTCTCTGGAGCTGTGTTCCCTCAGCATCTCCTGTGTCCCAGCTGTGCGCGGCCAGCAGCCCCGGGGCCTCCAGCACGGCTGCCCGGTCCCAGGGACACAGGCCCGGGGGCGCTTCAGGGCTCATGGGCTCCCACCCTGATGGCCGCCGGGGAGACCAGACAGGCCGGGCCCTGTTCACAGCCACCTGAGCCCATGGGGCAGCCCTGCCCAAGCGGGACCTGGACTCCACCAGCTGGTCACGTGAGACAGGCGGGGACGGCAGGGAGAGGGGTGGACAGAGATCTTGGCGTGAGGGTGGAGGACGCCGAGAGGAGAGAGGAGACGTCCGGTGTTCCTGGGCCACCTCTGGGGAAACAGAGCTTGCAGCCTCCCTCCCTTCACTTCTGCCGGAAGGGGATTCCACCGAAGCACTTCTCTCTGCTGGGACTGCTGCTGCCCCACAGCCTGTTCTGACTGTGGAGAGGGAGCTGCCGGTGGGGCCCTGCAAGTTGTCACTCAATCCTGCCCTTGCCCTCACCTGTGTCCCTGTGCCCATCTGCCACATGCCACGGCAGCCACCTCACACCAGGTCCTCCATCCCTGTCTCACTGGGTTTTTGCATGCCCTCTGCCTTGTGCTCCTATCCTGTCTGAGCCTTGTAGCTGCTCTTCCTCATCACCAGTGCACAGTCCGCCTTCTCTCCCTCGCTCAGCACTCCTCACCTGCACAGCCAACCTGTGCACAGGTGTGTGCGCCCAGGTGTGTGAGCCCAGGTGTGTGCCCAGGTGTGTGCCCAGGTGTGTGCCCAGGTGTGTGTGCCCAGGTGTGTGTGCCCAGGTGTGTGCCCAGGTGTGTGCACCAGGTGTGTGTGCCCAGGTGTGTGCGCCCAGATGAGGGAGCACAGGCAGCTCCCTAGCCCACTGTGGCTCAGGCCCTTGTGTGCCCAGGTGTGTGCGCCCAGATGAGGGAGCACAGGCAGCTCCTTAGCCCACTGTGGCTCGGGTCCTAATGCCCGGCACTGGGGATGCACTGCCTGTCTGCTACCTGTCCTCAGCTCTCCTCTTCCAGAAGCTTCCGGCCCTGGCTGGTGAGGTGCTTTCCCATACCATCTCGTGCGCCCTCCACGCTAGCCGCCTGCACATGCATCTGCCTTTCCCAGGTAGTGGTGAGGTCTTGTGCAGGGCGGTGTTGCCCCACAGGCCCAGCCTAGCACAAGGCCAGGTCACAGAGGGCACTCAATAAACACCTGGCCCCCAGGGACACCTGCGTGTCTGCGGGCCACAGTGAACACTCCGCGTCACGTCCCATCGACAGGAGCTCAGCTCAGCGTTACCTCTAGTCCCCAGCAGCGCCTGCAGGGCGACCACCAGCACTGCCCGTGCTCCGGCTCTCTGAGCTGGGCCCGCCGCCGGCCCCTGTGCCGGTGACCCCATCACACTTTCTGTTACTCGGTGCTTGTCCTCAGTGCTCCCCACTTCCCAGGAAATAGGTGCTGACTGAGAATTCGCTGAAGGCTCCAACTTGCATGCAGGGGGGCGGGCGAGGACAGAGGAACTCAGGGAGCCTCCGGGTGATTCTGGAGCCGCAGGGCTGGAACCACGCCCAGTTGGCCAGTGCTGATGAGAATTCTTATAACCACATCCGTTACAGCTCATCTAAGTGACTCACCAGCCCGGGCTCTCCCCTCCTGTCTTCTTGAGGCTTTTCCCGGCAGGGTGATTAGCAGGAGCCACAGGCACAGCTCTCTCTCCCTTGCAAACCAGTTTATGAAACGGAGCCTGAGAAAGGCGGCCAAGAACAGAACCCGGAGCCCCCGCGCCCACACTCACTCGGTGTCTGCGAGGACGCTCGTGGGCACCTGTAGCAGGCCTGTGATGTCCGCCAGCAGCTGCTTCCCCTTCTCCAGACTCAGGGGGCTGTTGGAGGAGCAGAGAAGGGCAGCGTCACCACATGGAACTGACTCTCAATCCCCGAGGAGCTGAGGGCCCTGTGCTCCCCCCACCCGGGCCTCTCACAGCCCCTCCATCCTGTCACAGTGCGCGGCTCAGGCCACCGGCATCGGGAGCTGTCAGCCACGGTGCATCGCCTGCTTCCCAGCAACCAGAAAAACAGTTCCGCGCAAGGGGACTGTTAGGTGTGTAAGGGGCCCTGACGCAGCAACGGGCTCATCGCAGCCTCAGTGAAAACAGGATACAGAGGGGAAGGGGGATGAGAGAAGAGACAGAAGCAGATGCTGAAAAGCAGACCATATTTTTAAAAAACACACATTTTTACTTCATTTATTTTAATCTTTTAAATTTTTATTTTTTAAAATCTTTATTGTTAAAAGTATTGCATAGGTCCTCCTTTTCCCTGATTAACCTCTTCCAGCCGCTCCCATCACCACCCCATTGTCTTGTCTGTGTCCACGGGTTGTGCACATGAGCGGACAAGCTCATTGGTTGATCTCTTCCCGCCCACCCTCCCCCGCCTTCCCTCTGAGGCTCAACAGTGTGTTCCATGCTTCCATGTCTCTGGGTCCATTTTTGTTCATCAGTTTATTTTGTTCATTAGATTCCACATGAGTGAGATCATGTGACACTTGTCTTTCTCTGACTTAGCATGGTGCTCTCCAGGTCCCTCCGTGCTGTCTCACAGGGTAAGAGATCCTTCTTTTTCACTTGGTGCATAGTACTCCATGGTGTAGATGTACCACAGCTTAGCCGTTCTCACAGGTCTGAGGTGATACCTCATTGACATTTTAATTTGCATCTCTCTGATTATCAGTACCTTGAGCATTTTTCATATGTCTCTTGGCCTTCTGTGTGTCCTCTTTGGAGAGGTGTCTATTTAGATCCTTTGCTCATTTTTAATTAGATTGTTTGTCTTCCTTTGTTAATTTGTATGAGTTCCCTGTATATTTTGGAGATTAAACCTTTATCAGATGTATCATTGGCATGCTGTGCCCTGCTCACCTTTGCTCTCTCAGGCGGTGGCTGTCACTCCTGGGGCCCCCCAGGGCAGGCCACCAGGAAGTGCTGCATAGCCAGAGACTGGGCTGACGAGGCTGACAGGGCCCGGGCAACCCTGACCTCTACACTGACCTCCTTGGAAGGAGCCGGACTTCACCCAGGTCAGGCCAGAGCCTGCTCACGCTTGGCTTAAAGGTCTGTGCTCATTCCATGGCCTCCAGGCTGCCTCCCCCACAAACTGCTCGCACCCCGCCTTGTCTCTGTCCCTCCACAGCCCCGCCCTCACTGAGCACCTGCCGGTTTGTTACCAGATTCCAGGACCTCCCTTCTCTGGGGTTTACACCCCGGGGCAACCCACTGGGCTGGGCCAGACGGTCTCAGGAAGCCTCCCGACTGCCCGTCACCACATTCCTTCACCCGCACGCAATCGTCCAGAGCAGCCTCGCGGGTCGCGATGAGGGGCGGCAGCGGATCGTGGGTCACAGGTCGGCAGCGCCACGCCAGGCCCCTGTCCTCCTGCCCAGCGGTCAGGTCCAGGCAGAGAGCGGGACAGATGGACGGTGCTCGTGCTCACAATGCACATGTGGTCATCTCTATTTTCTGTTTAAAAGACACGGCACCATCAGTCACTCCACAGCCTGGACTTCCTCAGGAAGCGGTGGGTGGACAGGGCCACGCAGCTTCGTCCATCTGCCCGCAGTGCTGTCACCGCGACCGCCTGGACACGCAGCGCTGCCTGCAGGGAGGGAGTCGTGGGTGCTTGGGCTCAGTCGGAGCTGGGATTGGGCGTAGGAGGGCACCAGGCTGCCGGCCCGGGTCTGGTGACGGGACAGCTCCCGGGGAGGACCCTGGGCAGCCAGGCAGTGTCTCCTGTCTCGGGCATCTCCATTCTGAGCCCACAGCATGTCACCGCCGCTGTTGAATCACGATGAATGAGGTGGCTTCTAGGGACCCACCGGACAAGCAAGAAACACGATGGAATACTATGCTGCTCTAAAAAGGAAGGAACTCTTACCATTTGCAACGGCATGGATGGAACTGGAGAGCATTATGCTAAGTGAAATAAGCCAGTCAATGAAGGAAAAATACCACATGATCTCACTCATTCATGGATAATTGAGACCATTATAAACTTAAGCAAGAAACACATAGTCACTTGACGGGAGGGTCGCAGGCCGGGCTGTTCCAATACCTCCTTCTCCTCCCGGCCCTGCCCTGCCCCAAAACAGGTCTCATCCTTGGCCCAGGAGAAAGATCCAATGGTCACTGACAGCGACCACCGAGGCGCCCTTCCGGGCAAAGCTGTGCTCCCAGGCACCTTCCGACGGCCACGCTGGCTCAGCACCCGCTGGGCCATGGACGCAGTGACGTTTTCACGCCTCCATCGCACTGTGACATATTTTCTCCTTCCCACAGTGGCTGGAGGTCAGACGAGGCTGCAATACCCTCCAGTTCTAGAATTCGAGCCAGTGCTGGACCCTGGAGGCCACACATCACGGAGGGCATGGCCGGCAGCCACAGTCACAGCTGGGCACACGGTGGGCTGTTCGGATGCCGCGTTAGAAAACAAATGAGCTGCAAGTTCTGACATGGACTCGACACTGATGATGCCAAGGGATCCGTGTGACTTGTGAGGTGAGTCCCTTCTGTGAAGGGCAGACAGGGAACCAGGACAGCGTGTGCCCAGCTCTGTTGTCAGACGTGGAGGGGTCTCTTCTTCACTGGGAGGGAAAGGGCCCCTTCGCTCCCAACCCGCCGTCCAGCCGTGCTCTCTTCCTGCCAACTTCACCTAAAATAATGTTTAGTCGTCCGTGGAGGACGGGGTGGCTGTCCTGCCTTTCATCCAGTCTCAAATAATCCACCTGGCTTGTGCAGATGACGAGGCTGTGAGCGATGAGGATTACAGTGCACCCTGTCTGTCAGCAAGGGTGAGAGAGGAGGGTGCCGGCCATGCTGAGCCACATTCCCACCTGTCTGAACGTCGGTGGGGCGCACACGTCGGCAATGACATAACACTGAGCTAGAAGTCACCTTCCCCCTCCTCTTATGGGACAACTACATATACAAAAGCCTTTAAAAAGAGAATAGAATGAGATTCTTGTCAATTAACAGCTGATCTATGAAGACGTAGTGGAGATCTGGTGAAATCTCACCCCAGAGAATCCCCGATTACCCATTACTCTGATAACAGAGTCAGAGCCCACTGCTCCGTCCGTGAGAGGGAGGAGGCGTAGCCTCTCGTACGCGATGCCTGGTGACAGTGAGCATCGCACCTTGAACATTTAATTTGCTGAAGCAGCAAAGAGGGGACAGCAGCCACACTAAGATAAGGACTGTCTTTAGCCCCCGTGCAGGGGTCAGTGTTCAGGTCCCCAGGTGGCACCCAGGGTGCTTCATAGGGAACTAACGGAGCCCGGGACAAGCCCGTTGTCACACTGCCTCTTCTGCAGGACCTCAGCCAGAGCCAGAGGACACGCCCAACCGAAGGGCCTTCAGGGTGGCTCACGAGCAGTCACTCCCTCTGCGCCAGCCCTAGTGCCAACACCCAGGGGGCGGACTGTCCTGCTCCAAAGGCTCCTGGCAAACACAGCCAGCGTCTCCCATGAGCACCAGCCCTCGGGACAGCCCAGGGCACGGATGCCCTAGGGGGAGGAAAGGTTCCCTGAGCAGCCGTACAGTGGAGGCTTCATCAGTGATGACACACACACACTTCCCACACGACACACACACACACCACACACCCACACATATGCACACACACTCATACACACAGTACACATAAACACACTACACATATGCACAACCTACACACATATACACAGCACATGCACAACACACACAACAGCACACATATGATACACAGTACACATAAGCACACAACACATACACACATGTGCACACACTCATACACACAGTACACACAAACATACTAAACATATGCACAAACCACACACATACACACACCACAAATACAACATACACAACAGCACACATGTGACACACAGCACACATAAACACACCACACACACATGTGCACACACAGTGCACACAAACACACCAAACGCATGCACAACCACTACACATACAACATACACAACACACATATGATACATAATACACATAAACACACAACACATACACACATGTGCTCACACATAAACACAGCATGCACACTATACATACAACCCTACACACATGCACACATCACACACAAACACACTACACATATGCACACCCACATGCACGCACACAGTACACCCATGCACACCCCACACATCAGCACACCCATGATACAAACCACACAAATACACATGTGCACACATACACACAGTACACATGTATACTATATACACATCACACACAAACACATGACACATGTGCACACATGATACATAGTGCATATAAACACACCACACATAACACATACACACAGGTACACATATGACACATCACACACAACGCAGCACACATAAAAATACTACACACCATGCATGCACACGAACACACATGCATATAGCACACATAAATGCACTACGCGCACACACACAACATGCACATATGCATATGATACACATGTGGTACATAGCACACATAAATGCGCACACACGACACTGCATGCACACATGTGACACACAACACCCACATATACATACACAACATATGTCTATGCACATGCATGCACAACGTGCTAAACACACTACATATGGCATGTTGCATATAAACGTATTGCATATGTATATGTGCACATCCATGCACTATACACAAGCACATCACATATGCATGTGATGTGCACAAACAACACACTACATGCAACATACACCACACAACACCTATACACACTATGCAGAACACACATGCAAGTGGTACACACATGCATACAGCACACATACAT